AGCTCGCCCACGTCCCCTTCCACATCTGCAGGCAGAGCAGGGGGCAGCTCAGCGCCCCCCCCGGCACGGCGCGGCACGGCAGGGCTCGGCCCGCCTGCCAAAGCAGGGTGAGGCAGCCCGGTGAGGGAGGGCCATTACCGATATCGGGGATGACTTCGTCTTCATCCGTGTTGCTGTCTTCCTCAGAGTCTTCCTCCTCCCCTCGCTTCTCCAAGGAGTTCTCGAGCTCCGCCACGGTGCTGTCCTCGTACGTGTAGCCGATGGAGGCCTTTTTCTCTGCCAACCTGGGCACAGACACGCTTAGCCCCTGCACGCCTCTCCCCTCCAGCACGGCGGCTCCGCACCGGGCAAGGCGGCATCAGGGCTGAAAAGTTTCCTGAGGAAGAAACCAGCCCTTCCTCTGCCTCCCTCCTCATCCACCACAGCTCCGCTGGGGCCTAGGACAGCCTCGTGGCCGCAGGGAGAGGATGGAGGGGACAACTTCAGAGCGTCACCGAGAGAGGATGGTGCAGCCGGTGGCTGCTCAGTCCCACCCCAAAAGAGGGGAAACTGGGACCAGTTGATGAGCGGGCGTTTCCGAGGCTGTGGAGCCACGCTCTCAGCGCAGCCCCCAAGGACAGGGACGCGACAACCGTCCCTCTGTCACCTCTTCTCACACTCACTTCTTTTTTTCATCTTCGTTTGGCTTCTGGAGTCCCCCGTAGAGCTCGTCGATGTAGATCTGGTAGAGACACTGCTCCTCCGAGACTGCAACCACACAGGGACATCACCAGCTTGCTTTATGCCCACTCAAGAGAGAACAGCTCAGAGAGCTGATTAAGCGTGGCTCGTTAGAGGGGACATAGCTCTCCCAGCGCTCCCCGCCACCCCCGGAGCGAGGATGAGACCCTCCCCTTGCCTTTCGGCTGGCACCACGTTGAGCTGTGCCTTGGAGGAGCTGGGATTTCCCCCAAATCGCTGTGGTTTGCCCTGTCTCAGCGCAGGCCTGACCCTCCCACCCGCACGAGACACTTACTGCCGGCGAAGTCGTTCTGCACCAGGCCTCGGTACCGCTCGTAGTTGCACTTTCTCTCATCAGACTCCTGCTCGGGGGAGCTGGAAAGGAGCAAGACGCAGCCCTTGGGGCTCACGAGCCTCTGGGGAGATGGAGGTTCCCCTCTCCCCAAGGGATTTTGGATGGCAGAAAACCCATGGCCCTTTTCTGCTGGGATTAGCAAGATCAGATCCCCCCCGCCCCGGTGTGTGGAGAGAGCGGGGCTGGGGTCTGCAGGAGGAGGGATCACGTGCTGGTCCAGGATTCCCTCAAAAGCCCAAAGGGACCAAACTCCTCTTTGGAGCTCGCGTTGAGGCTGGAGAGGGTGAGCGGGTGCCGGAGCAGCGGTGAGCAGGGGCAGGAGGGGAACCTGGCTGCTTTCCACAGACCCAGCCCTGGGGGGAAATTTGCCCTCTGCCCTGTCCCTGCTCAAAGCAGGGCTGACTACAGTAGCATGCTCCAGCTGAGCAGCCCCCCTCGACAGGGACAGACCCTCCACCCCCCCCCAGCCTCTGGGTGCTTAATTAACTCCCTCACTCTAATTTCAGCCTTTTCATCACGCCCTCTTACTGCAAAGAGCTCAGCTCTGTCCCCTCCTAACTTTTTAGGTATGGAAAAGCTGCCGCAGGGTTCACTTTCACCCTGTGCTCCAGCCTTACCCATCCCTCTGCACTCACTCCAGCTTATCTCCTCCTCGTACTGGGATCTCCACACTGGTCCCAGTACACAGAGTCTAAATAGCAGCCCTGCCCCCCCTGCAGCGACCCCAGTCAGGCTCGCAGGCGACGCCAGCTCCGAAACCTCAGCCAACCACTCCAAACCAGACCCGAGAAGGCCTGATCCCGACCCGGCAGCTCCCGTCGGAGCGGGGTGACCCGGCGCCCCATGGCTTACATAGGGCTCAA